TGGAAATGTGATTTATCACGTATTATTTTACAACAAAAAGGGCACTTCTGCCCCCCCTGCCCCCCCTAGCAGAAGGCAAGGGGGGCAGCCGCCCCCCCTGCCCCCCCAGTTCCGGCGTCCCTGAAAACGTCGTTTCCAATTTTGTCAGTTTGACGCTCTGTCCACACGGAAACGTTTTCACGAGATGCAAATGTTTGTCTCGATAAAAAATCCATCTCTAGCGGCTTGTTATTACCATTCATTTTCCACCAGATAAAGTCATTACTTGTCAACGAGTTTCTTAAAATGTCCTCTGCTCATTATCATAAAGTAAACAGTTTTATATGTACTGTTTAGCATCACCGATACGAAGTCTGTCGCTTCTTCGAAAGCAAACCGCATTTTAAATCGTTCATAAATCATTACACATTTGAAAGGCTATATATTTTATTTTATTTGTTGCGAAAGTTTTTAACTTAAGAATTAATGATCCAATGAAAGATCTTAAGCTTCCAGGAAACAAAAATATAACATTTTGATTTTAAGCCGCCATCTTGGATTTTTAGCGTTTCAACGTGAAAACGCTTGTCCGAAAACGTTTTTAGCATTGAGAACGTTTTCGTCATAAGATGACGTTTTCATCCGTTTTCGTGTGGACACGGCTTGAAAACGACACTTTTTGAAAACGTTACAGTCTAAGACATGGAATGTCTTATAGTCGTGTGCACATGAATGAATTATAGTCGTGTGCACATAGTCTATGTGAGGCGTGATTGTCGATAAAAATGCTCCGTGAAATGAGAATTAAGGATGTCTGTTTCGAGAACTGTGATTTTGCTTTGTTTATTTCGATCTATTTTATAATAGTCATAAAAAAATAAACATGATACGCGATAATCAACTTATATGATCTCACTCGATTGCACAAGAGTAAAAACTTCGGAGGCCTTTCGAAGGTCATCATACATGCTCGTAACTCAAACTTGTAATGACGTAGTTTTTAACTGCCAGGCAGAGAAGTGAGAACTTAAAGCATAGATACAGACATACTGTACCATGCATTAAACATTCTCTTAATAAACCTATTATTATTATATTATTTTATTAGAATCTAGTTTTTCGTGAAAATGCTTTTTTAAGACATGTGAATCGTGAAACGGCTTTTCGTTGTGAAACGTGATCCATATCCCCCCTTTCCCACCCTCTTCAATGCTTGGATAGTTCTTTTCGTAGTTTATACATGTAAGCAAAATATTCTAGAATATTCGTCACTGAAATATTATTTTATTAAATAGTACTTTTACTTAGTATTTGAACCCAATTTATAGTATATTTGATAATTTTGAATATATACCTAACATTAAAATTCTAAGCAAGCATTAAAATTCTAAGTATTTTATTATAGTTTGTTTTTTGTTTGATTAATCGGCGGCCAGCTTCACTCTCCTGCAATGTCTACCACCATGCATCGTCTAATCACCCTTCATTCCATGCCTCGATCTGACGAGCTCTCTTTATCTCTTCATATTATGTGTCCATTTATCTCATTCTTACTTCCCTCATTTCTCTACAATATCTATCACCCAACATCTTCTGATTCCTCTTCATTCCATGTCTCTGACTAGCTTTCCTTCATCTCTTAGTATCACGTATCCATATCATCTCATTCTTACTTCCCACACTTTGATCTCTTCAGTCCATGTCTCTGACCAGCTCTCCTTTATCTCCCCTGATTACGTTTGATTAGTTTTGTACGGGGGTCCGGGGGCATCCTCCCCCAGAAAATTCTGAAATCTGGAGACTCCAGAATTGCTATTTAGTGCATTTTGGGGGGCATTTTAAATAATTCTGAATACTATAAAAAGTTAATGTTTAACACTTTTAATCGCAATGTGCTTGTCTTTCAACATATATTTTAACTCAAAGTCACTGTATAAAAGTTAAAGTTTACAAATATCCAGACGAATCCTTAAAGAATTTCTTCATATATTCTCATTAACTATGATAAAATACAGACGAAAACTTACTACATTCACATTTCATGATTTCACACAAAACGTATTAAAAGGGCCCAAGGAGTGGGGGTCAATTTCGCACGAGTGAGGGGCCAACAGTAGTGCCTGGGGGGCCAAATGTTAAATTTAGTATTTGTTAAAATATGCCTTGCTCTTTCATGACTTTCTATTACGTGTCCATGCCATCTCATTCTTACTTCTCTCACATTCTCTGCAATTAATGTATACCAACCCTCATCTTCTGATCTCTTCATTCCATAATGGCTAATGGCTATGACTTGGTTTCTTAAATAACTCTTCTTAAATTAAGCCAGTTACAGACGAGCAAGAAAACTATGACATGTTTTCACATGACAAGTTTTATTTGCTCGTTTGCATTCTCAACTTTCACAAGTTTTTCTATGACAAGTAGTGCACTTGTTCAAAACCTAGCATTACTACAATCGGCCCCTGGACAAAACATCTGCGACACTTCCAATTATTTGACAAAATTTCGGTCTGATAGTAAAAACATTCCACAGAGTTTTCCATATGTTTTACCAGGAAAATGGCTTTGACCAGGATGGGATTGTAGCTTTTGAACAAGTCATAGAAAAAATGGCAAAATACAAGTTTTGCTAGTCTGTGTGTAGGTCAACAAAGAGAATTTGACAAATTAATTTGAGCACTTGGATGCGGTAGGACAGCGATATATTGTTGTTGTTGTTGTTTTGTAAAATTTGTCATATGCAAAACATCATCATCGGTAACCGGCTTTATGTGTCTACACCATCACAGTCTTGCTTCACTCCCTTTCTCTGCAATGTAAAAAAAAACCCTTAGCAAAGTCACAGAGTTTTGCTCGTAAAAGGGAAAGACTTTGATTCATAGAAACAATTTCATTACAATTCAGTATGTTTGTAATTGGCAGCCATTTTCGAACAAAATTACCTCTCTATTTTTCAAAGTTTTGAAGGAGTTTATTCCTGAAGTGCCAAAAGTCCACATTTATATTTGCACTCTACACAAATGATAGAATATGATGATTGATGAGCAGGCAATCATCTCGTTTAAAAACTGACATTCTGCTCATTAACAGGGATTGGAAATTGGGATGCACAACCCCCGAAACTTTCCTCGGCCAAGGGGGAGCCAATCTCCTAATCAAATCCATTTTTTTTGGATTTGGTGAAGCAATTATCGAACAAGAAAAACTTTACATTTAACACTCATGATGAAATTTTGTCAGATTGCCAGTAACCCCTAACTTGCAGTTCGAGATATCCAACCTTGATTGTCTATTTTTCTTCAAGGTCGAAGGCTTGTCAACATCAGTGGCAATGCAACAGGTCAAGCTATTGATGATTTGCATTATTCAAACCTTTAGAAATGTGTTGTCTTTAACCTATTTAGATGCGGGTTCGTTAGCATAGCATGACCATTTGCCATGGCTACCTTCGCCACTGTTCAGTGGTTATGAATTTCTTGTTATTTGGATGCCCCTGGAATTCAGTGGCGGGCACTAGGAGGTGGGGGCAACTGCTCCCCCTCCCAGATCACTTCAGTAACACCCTCAGTAACTATGCACAATAGTGAGTTTGGAAAATAAAACGGCATGGTCAACGAAAACGTAATCACCAACAATAGAATTTTACCCTAAGACAAAGGTGACTATAAAATGTATTCCCTCGAGCTTTCTAGTACGCCGAAGTTGTTCAAACTGCTGTTATTTTTTTTTTCTGCGTTGGTGTAGTGTACTCAGGTGAATATGATGCTTGTGATGTTACTCTGAGTGTATATCCACACCGGGAAAGCCTGAAAAAACATGCCTGACCACGGTGGGAATCGAACCTACGACCTTTGGAATACCAGCCCAATGCTCCGCCAACTGAGCTACGCGGTCTGGTCGGTTCGAGTATGTGATATTTCGGAACAGAATCTAGTTCCTTCGATATCAATGTAATCTAATAATCATGATTTTTTCTGTGTTGGTGTAGTGTACTCAGGTGAATATGATGCTTGTGCTATGTTATTTATATCATTTTCATGGGCTTCGGTGGCCCAGTCGTCAGAGCAAGCGCCTTTCACCTCTAAGATCGTGGGTTCGATTCTCGCTACGGACTCATGTGAAAAGAGTCTGTCAACGTTCTGCCAAAAGTCGTGGGATCTTTCCGGACGCTCCGGTTTCCTCCCACAGGGAAAGTTGACAGGGTGGGTCGGGATAAACACAGTTAGGAAAGTAATATAGCAATTGTTGTAAAGATAAATAGTAGGTAGGCGAGGTAGGCGAGTCAATGAAAGGCCCCAATGGGGAGTGAGCTGAATAATAATGTAATGTAATAGGCGTATGACCACATCAACGTTTAAATCGTTCGAAGTCGTGTGGGACATATCACGTGAATTCATTGATAATGCTACTCAAAGGTTGTTTGTAAAGAAAGATAAGTACTTTCAAGAGGCAAATATGGTTTAGCAATGTATTCTCTGGCTTACATACATACAAAAATGAAAGTAATTTTCTGCCAAACTCTCTACTGCCGTGGACTAGGACAACCTCCGTCGCAGGGACTTTCCACCCGGGACTAGGATAGCGCTCCACTCCACGAACAGCGCCAAATCAGGACTCGCCTTTAAAATATCCAGTTGAATCTATTTCCGTTGGAATTTACTAATAATTACTTGCTCAACCAGGAGTGTTTCTAACTAATTTGCATGTGAATTGGTCAATTTCACATATTGCTATAGGTTCGTGCATATTGAAAATTCAATACAAATAGCCATTACGTAACGTACCCCAAATAATTCCATCGAGCTAATATCTGCTCGCATTCTAAATTGAAAAGCAAAAGATAAAAATAACTAGCAAGTAGCAAGTAGCAACGAGCTGTAGTTCTGCTAGCTACAACGAACTTCAGCATTCCACAAATAACCGGTCCACATACTTGTCCACTGCACCACGATTAACAATCCTTATTATACACGGAACTTCTTTCCTTGAAGTAGTGGGGTCCTGAACCTATGAAACGAAGAGGGATATACTACTCACTCAATAGTCCCATTTCACGAATGCAAAATCTCCTAGTTCCAGTCCTCTCTGCGGGAAAAGACCAGTGAGCTCCATATATACTAGAGCAAAAACTTCAATCATTCAGCCAATTAGAAAAGTGAAGCCAAGATAGCGGAAATTGACGTCCAAAGCTATGAAGGTCGTAAACAGTTTTTTATAACATTCCCAGCTAATTCCAGTTTCTTCCAATGGACCGTAAACTAAAGCTAATCAAGTTTTCAGTTCATAAAATCATAATATTAGTTAATATTCAATAATATTAGTTTTTATTTTCTTCATGTCCGACCCACTGATCTAGAAATAGTCCAACCGCGCTTAAAACAATAGAAAGGGACTGGGTTGACGTCCAATAGCTCTTCAATTCGGCTTCACTTTTTGGACTCGAGTTCGCGCTACAGATATATATGGAGTTCACTGGAAAAGACACGGCTCGACCTTGTCCAAGCATGCATGCGTCTAAAGTTTGGCCAAGAACGCGTTCTGCCCACAGAGAGTACTACTACAGAAAAACGCCTGTGGTATTTTGTAGAATGTAACTGGTAACACTGTTGTCACACGCGACATAGAAGAAATTATATTCAGATAGATGTATATTAGTAGTGTATACACTATCTTCTAATGCTTTCAATGTGGCTGTAAGTGTAATTTTTTAATTGTAAACGACCCTGAAAAGCGCATTGAAAGCAGTGGCGTAGCAAACTCGAATCATATATTCGTGTTCACAGACCTTAAAAAGAATTGATTTCAAAAGAAATTAATGATGCAGAACACGAATGTATGAATATCCCCAATTATCGAGTTTGTACGTCACTGATTGAAAGAGTACGTATCTATAATCACAACTTTGCAGCAATAAAACTGCAGTAACAAGGGGCTACAAAAACTCATGTGAATTAGCAATGTGAATAGATAATTTTGAGCACTCATATAAGCACAGTACATAGTATAGGCAAGCGTGAAGAAAACTCGCTGGTTCCATATTGTAAGATATTCTTTCAACATACCAGTGGAGGAAAAACAGCACCCGCAGTAACGGCGTACAGCTTCAACTTCATGAATGCTAAGAATAAGTGTCAAATATATCATATTAATGCAGCTAAACATTAAAGTGATTAAACATCAGGAAACTGATAAAGTTTGATAAAATAAACTTGATAAACTTGACAAAGGTGCAATTTGTACCTTTCATTATTCTATAAAATAACTTGAAAAGATCATTTCCAGGTCGCTTGCTTAGAATAACCACCTCATTTGATACACTTGGTGTCTAAATATAAAATAGTATAGCCAAATGTTATACTCGTTAATATGAAGAAATTCGCTAACCACATCGCTTTATTTTGCTATCATGATGACACTAGATACCTGCACGGTGAAGTATATACTGATTCAAAGTCCTATAGGTGAACATTAATTCAGTCCCAGGAGTGGATCAAAATGTATTCACTTCACTCTAAGTAATGGTTTATTCGTTTGAGATTTTATATCAAATCCTTCACTACGGACTTTACCTGGTATCCAGTCCTGCAATAGTTCAGTGTAATTGCGCAGACTAGCTGGATATGCGATAAAGTCCTCATACTCGGATTTGAAATATTACACACTGACAAGGCTTCCAGTTGCTTTTGGAAAGATATGAGAGTTGAACCGCCATTTTGAATATTTTTGTTTGAATTCGTTCCCAAGCCCAAGGAGTACAACCAAGTTGTACTCCTCTCGACCAATCGGAATTCAATAATCTTGTCATGCAAATCATAAATATACTGTTATATATTGTAGTTATAACATCTATGAAAAAATCTCTGGCTGAGCCACTCTACATAAACTCATCGTGGATTGGACATCGGGCATCCCAATAGCTCAAGGATCAAAGTGCTGGTATATTAAACCAGGGTCGAACTCCCGGTTTGGGGCCCGTTCACATGAGCCCAGTAGACCGGGAAGCTCACCTACTAAGTGGGATGAATGATTTCTGTATTCATATGAGTGTTTTTGTCTCATCTAATATCCCATTTAGCTTGCATGGTGGAATGAAATTAGGAAAACATAGCGCTTTCAAAATTATACGACTTTTAAGGTGTTTGGCTACTCAATATTAACTGTTGGTCAAAATCACATAATTGTCCATCCCTGTTGGGTAGGATTAAGCGTTCATATGGAAAATTTTATCCCACTAGACTGAGAACTCATCAAGTGAGTTTCGCCTATCCGGGTTGGCTCGTCTCTCATATAAACATACAATGATTTTTATATGTATTAGCAATGACATGCCGATCTCTCACAGATGAATTTTCCGGTTAGCTGGGCGCATATAAATTGGTTGGAAAATTCAGTTAAAATTCAGTTAAACTTACAAGTGATACATAGGCTACAGCATCTCCATATGTGATGTTCAATTTAAGAATTGTATGGATCTGACAAAAAAAAAACATCAAGTTTGGGTGAAAATGTAGACATTATTATGTAAAAAATGAGCATTTTTATCACAAACTGATTTTATGCTCAGGGTCTGTTAAGTAACAAAGTACGTAAAAATCCGTGGTAAGGGGAATGACGAGAGTTAAAAAAAGCCGTGTACCTTAATAAGATCATTAAAATATTTTTTTCCTTCAGTCAATTGGTACTCGTCTGCTGCTCTGAATATTTTCTCCCAACCAGCTATGGTAAAGGAATGACTGTTTTAAACTATATTCCAACACAACAAAATCGTAACCAATTAATGGTGTAGTCCTACAAGAGAGAGACTTGAGAAGGGGGGGACAATATGATATGGAAAATTCCAGTATTTATTTTTCGTTCTAACAATTCCTCAATTAGCGTTTTTTAAATAAAGAAAGGATTTAACTTCATTCCGACGTAGTAAAGCTAGTTCATGATAGAAGCACATAAACTATCTAATGGAAGGTTCAAAGTGATCAAGTAGAGATTATTAAAATCATTATCTTTGGAAATTACTGAAATTTCATCACAACAGTTCCGAGGATATTTTTATGATATCTGAATTCAAGTAGAAGGGAGGGGGCTCAGCAAAGGGCGTCAATCCTGGGAGGACGGGGGGGGGGACCCGTCCTGCTCACTTTTTGGACATTCGTAATATAATCTATAATAAATTACGTTCACTGGTTGACTCGCCCGCCCCCCCCCCCCATTTTTTTGGAATGGATTGTCACTTTTGGGCTCAGTTCAAACACAACAACATGGAATTTCAACAAGAGAGGCTCGGACCCTGTGAGCCCCTCCCCCACTACATCACTGATGTAACCCTTAGGCCACATACAGTACACGGCCCACAATGGACAATAACCAATAGCATATACGCTTTACATAGTACTCTATATACCATATTGTGTTATAACATACTTACAAAAATAAAAATCTTTAGACACAAACATATGAATATGTGGATGTATTTGACTAGCACTTGCTTTCGGCAAGATATCCCACAGCAAGCTTGGTAGCGTAAACGTTTCGTCAATTTCAAAACATTTTCTAAACCTATGCAGAAAATTAACAATTATATACCTACAGAAAGATTAGAATAAAATTTTCATTCTTATGTTCACTTAATTATACACGACAAATAAGTACATTAATATCTCAAACTCATTAACAATTCATGAGTAATTTAGCCAGCCATACTACTTTATTTTGCTCACATGATAATACTGGATAACTGGTGAAGTATATTGATCCAGTTCTAGGACTGGATCGAAATTAATTCAGTCCTTGGACTGATCAAAATGGGAGCCTCCTTAATTAGTGATTTATTCCTACGAGATGTCACTTCAGATCTCCTTGGACTGGATCAAAATTAATTCACCTCACTTTAATTATTGATTTATTCCTATGAGATGTCATTTCAAATCCTCCAATTCGGACTGGACTGTATTTCAAATCGTCGCATTTTAAGGTTACAGAACACCTTTGAGTGTTAATTTTGCCTAATTTTTTTTTATTGGTTTCCATGAATTAAAGCACTGGACTACTTCTACTATCTGACCAAGTTTGATTTTTTGAACGAAAAATGTTGAAAACTCGCGGAGTTATTTGACAAAATACAATTCGCTGCAATATAAGAAAAACATTGAAAACGTAATACTCAAATTCAATTTTCTCCCGAAGAATGTTACGGCAATTACTGATTTTCAAACGAGTTGCTCTCCTGCGGGTTTTAACGAATTAATTTTTCTCAAATTTTCACAAGACAAATTGCGTTCGGCTTTTTTCTAATTTTGGATATTTTAATAATAAGGAGCAATTCACTCAAACAATTCAGAAATATATTGCAGTCGTCAAAGAAATCGCCATATCAGCGGAATGACGAAATACATGTAAACAAAAATCTCCGAACACAATTTGTTAGAACAACTATCATTACAGTATAAAAATGATATTTTCATAAATATATCTTAAAAACAGCAGGAAAACAACTCAAAAGCGTAAAGGTTTTGGCTGAATAATTCTTACATTATTTTATTGTTTGTCAATTTTACAACTTACCATATTTTGCATGCACTGGCGAACATTTGATGAAAATCGGACTGATATTGAGCGCGCAGTAGCGATTTTGCGCAAAATGCCACAAAGGGTGTCCTGTAAAATTTTGCGCAAAATGCCACAAAGGGTGTCCTGTAACCTTAACCCAGTCCTTGGCTTCGTCTCGGTGCACGGACGTCAGATTTGAAATACTACGTAAAAACGATCACCAAGGCATTAAGGGTCTACTGAACGTACCATTTTTGAGATAATTCCATTAGATCTAAAAACTAAGAAAACCATGCAATTACTGCACTGTACTGTATTGTTCAATTTATCAATTGAAAGCCCCGATTACACTATACCGGATTGCATCGGAGCGTCGCGATTTTCACCGGATTCGGCTGCTGTTTACACTACGCCACAGTAATCCGGTACGCGACGCGGCGTAAAAATCACTCCGCTTTGGAGGTGATATGAAAAGTAATCCGGTATGTGCCGAAGCAGTGTAAGCAGGCCAATCCGGTACGCTTCGATACAAAATCGGTTTTGGCGTGTACGTTTTACCATTGTCGCCTTTATTTGCTCGCTTTTACAATATTTTAGAGCTGTCGTTTGTTTCGCCTTACAACCATTTACTATTTCTGGCGAAGACAAATAAAGAAAACGATAATAATATTGACTTTTCGCTTTCGATAGGGCAAAATTTAAAGAAATACTCGTCAATTTTGGATTAGAGCGAAACGAAGCAACGTCTGGTAGTCAAGCTTTTTAAACAAAGTTATACTTTACAAAGAAAACGTGTGTTACTTCTTGTTTTTAATAAATTTTAGTATGCTGGCCAAAATATTACTTGTTTCCATGGGACAGCGAGACACGAGCTGGCAGCAGAGCGAAGCGGCATGCATAGTGTAAACACCCTTGTTTTTTACTGCGGGGTGAAAATTTATTCGGTATGAAAATCAGTCCGGTATAGTGTAATTCCAGCCTCAAAGACGAGTCTCTTTTCCAGTCCGGGTCCGGCTTTTTCTCGAGTCCGGATTTCGAAATATGCTCAGAATAATTTATTGTGCGTTGTTGACATTAGTCTTTGCCCTTATATGGAACGAACTGTCGAGACAAATTAACTTTTCTGTAATCTCATTGGTCAAGAGCTGTTGTATTTAGTTAGTTGTGTATGGCGCGTTCGGCTCTATTTCAGTCTTGAATATTTAATGAGTTGCAGGCGATTCTTTCAAAAAATCTGAAATATTATTGTAACCCTCAAACAAATAGCTATATTAATAAAGGAACGACGAAATATATAGAAAAATCCGAACCCACTTTTAGAACACCTATATTGGGCGTATAAAAATGACATTTTCTGGAATACATAAAGGTGCCGAGATTCAAAATTTTACAAAGCAATTCGTAAGATATTCTATTTGTTGCCAATTTTACCACTTTCACTCAAACGCTGACTGTATACACTATAATTCAATAATACACTTTTGACTTACAACATCTATTGACTATTGTGAGTACGATTAATACTTGGGGAGAAACACAATAAATCCTACATGTCTATAGTGAGTGTCTACATACACACTGTATACGTTATTCGTTAATTTTGTATGTATTCTCAAGTAATGTTAACTTACCTAATACTTCACTTATAGAAACTATAAAAACAGCACTAAGAGGTTCACAATTGTCGCGAGTTCACAATCCTTTCGTACACGTCTGCAGTTTAATATTTAAGCGTCACAACTTGTGTTGGGACGCTGCACTGCTGCAGGTGGCTTGCCAAATAACGAAAATACGCTGCCGGTAGGAATATTGTCTGCACATGCGTTAATTAAGGGAGATACAATTTTTGCCTAAAACTGTCGCATGCAAACTGCTTACAACTTGAGGAGTACTGTATCAATCAAGCACACAACTCACCTAGGACAACGCAGACGAGTTGTGTGCTTCATTTACACTGTACAACTCAAGTTATAAGCAGGTTGTATGAGACAGTTTTACTGTTTTAGGCAAAAGTTATGTAGTGTAAACATGTTTCCCCGCATTGGCAAGTTGCGACAAGGTTTAGATACTAGTTCAGCAGAATAATTTATTGTGCGTCATTTACATCAGGTTTCGCCCTTATATGGAACGAACTGTTGAAAAAATTTAACTTTTCTGCAGTCTCATTGGCTAAGAGCTGTTGTATTTAGTTTGTGTATGGCGTGTTCGGCTTTATTTCAGTCTTGAATATTTAATGAGTTGCAAGCGATGCTTTTAAAAAATCTGAAATATTATTATAACCCTCAAACAAATAAGC